TCGATGGGCTTTTCATTCCCCCTCTTCGATGCCTTTGAGAAGTGCTTGACTGGGTTGCTATTTTTTTGTTAGAGTTTGTGCTTTTAGGCAGGGTGGTCTTTGGGAAAGGCCATAGCAACCCACTTGTCAGAGCTGACAGTCCAATTTTTCCTCAGTCAAAATGTGGCGATGCATCTGTGTTGAACAGAGTCAGAAAGAATTGCTGACAGTTATCTCGGGTGGGTGACAGATGATGCCATCTAACCAGGACAGGAAGCAGAAGGCTCAAGAAGGAGGACCTCTGTGGCAAACGCAGGCAATGGTTAGCTGGGGCCAGTTGAATTGACTGGAAGTAGATGAGTTGGGAGTGGGGAGTGAAGCCATAGGTGTTGGCAGCCACTGCGGCAGCCAGTGAGGGTGATTTACCTGCCAAAGCAGAATTCTCAGGAAAAACAGATCTCTGTTTTTCCTCAGATGCAGGGAACAGCAGTTTGATTTCATTTTAGCTCTATAATCACAAAAGAAAAAAAAAAAAGCACCTTTTTCCTGAAGTCAGGCACTCTGGCTTTTGACTCATTAATTCCTATTTCTGGCTAACTATGGGTGTGTTATGTACCCTTGAAGGATGGCACAGCAGACAAAGGGTGGGTGCCCCTCAGAGAGAGACCATTCAGATGGCTGCCTGGCCGCTTGTCTCTCGGCAACTTTGAGACTGTCCAGACTATGGAGAAGCATCAGTGGTCTCCATTTTGTCCTTATTAGACATGTCCATGGAGCTGCAGGTTAGAGTCCAACCAGGATTGGAGAGGAAATCCACCTCCTCACCACGGAGCACAGACGGAATGGTCTATTGCTGTCCCTGTCCGTTACAAACACTCACACAATCATTCAGGGGTTAAATATTCCCTTCCCTCAACCACAGGGAGGCCTGACTAACAAGAGGAGACAGTCTCTCCTTCTGCTCAAACTGGGCAGGCACAGACTGAAACAAGTACCCCGAGGGGTGGTCTTCGCAGCCTACAAGCAGGAAGGCAGGCAGGCAAGCAGGCAGACTGTGTCTTCCTCCTTTTGGGGTCTGATGTGAACTACGTGAATGGGAACTAGGAATCCTCCTCCAGACCTCTGAGGGGACTCAAGAAATCTTGAGGGCGCCCGTCCTGTCGGGACCTGGACAGGTCCCTGCTCCATCTGTGAGGACCACGACCGGTGACCAAAGAGCTCAGCACAGTCCGTCTTTTTGATTGACGCACCAGATACAACAGCAAGCAGAAACACTGAAAATGTTACCCAGGATTTGTAGGCAGATTTATTTTATGTCAATGGGCACTGATTGGGGCAATTCTCAAAATATCAGTCCCTGATTCTTGGTAGTTTGGGGCTATATGGGGTAAGCAAGCAGGAAGTACAGAAGCAGAATATTTTCCAGCTATTCATCACAGTGACCAGCCATTTCTAGGAGACAGTAATAACAGGAATTATTATCTGGACTACTGAAGTATACTGGCTGGTGCGGGGGGCGTTTTCTGCCCCATGAGAACTCATCAGTGGACTGACCAGTACAGCACTCTCATGATCCAATCAACTTCCCAAGACATGCAGCTTGGGAGGGACATGCCAGGCCTAAACTGTATCACCACATTTTCAGTAAGTGCAAGTGGGCCTAGCACAAAAATATCTTCCAGATTAGATAAAAAAATAAATAAACACAAATATGCTACTGTATATACTAGGAGACACATTAAACTTATGTGACTTGAAATGATTTTTTTTTTTTTTCTTTTGAGACAGGGTCTTGCTATGCAGTTCAGGCTGGCCTTGAGCTTACTTTGTAGCCCAGGCTGGTCTCGAACTTGCAATGATCCTCCTGCCTCAGCCTCCCGAGTGCTGGGATCACAGGTGTGTGCCCCCATGCCTAGCTTGAAATGATTTTTAAAAAACATTAGAGAGTGAATCACAGGCAAAAGAACATAAAAACAAAATGTGAACATAGACCTGTGAGAAAAGAAAAAGGTAGGGCAGAAAGTTGAGAATTAGTTGCCCTATTTCAAAAATACTTCTAGAAATCCTTCATGTTTTTCCCCAAGATCCAGGGCTGGAATTGACCTTGGACAGGTGCATCTGCAACTGGAATGGTGCATCCTTGGAAGTACTGGGTTTTGTCTAGCCTTACAACGATTCAGAGAAAATGCCATTAACAACCTTAGGAGATGATTTCTGGAGGGTTCTGGGCTCATTCTAGTTCATTAGAATGCGCAGGCTGCAGAAACGGGTTAAGAGTAAATGAGGGGTCACGCTAGACAGGCTCAAAGGGGTATGAGGATGATTAAGAGTATTAATTAGCCCCAGGTCCATGGGTGAATTAGGAACCAATGAAACCAGAAAACTTGAGGCATCCTCCATGGATTTCTGGTCCCTGCTAGGTAGAATATCCAATGCAAGCACATCACAAGAATGGAGGGGAAGTCTGTGGAGTGCTGAGATGGCCCTGGCCTCCAGAGGAAAAGAAGCCACAGTCTACGGGCTCTCTGTCCCAGAAGGTCTCCTGTCTTGACCTACCAGTATAGACTGCGCTCATGAGAGAAGACCAGGTGGACCCATGTGGCTGGCCATGACCAGCAGATGGTGATAGTGACTTGGGTTGTGTTGTGGATGGCTAGGGGTCCTTGAAGGTGCTGGAAGGAAGGTTCTCTGGTTCCTGAGGTCTCCTCTCTGTATTCCATCAACTTAGCCTCTCTTGGCCTGAGAAGTAAAGAGGAAGAGCAGCTCCATTGCCCAGCCAGGAGTGAGGGAATGGTTTCCTGTGGCACAAACAGGCCCACACCTGCTGGGAGGAGACTCCTGTGGTGTCAGGACTGGACTGCACAGGCCTTGGACTCCTTTCTCCGGGACCTTCCCGGCCGTAGAGCCAGGGCTGCCACATTGTGGAAATGGTCAGAAACAGTGATGAGTGAGTGGTAAGAAGGCAAATAGGGTTCTTGAAGTCTCCCACAATCCTTGAGGATCCCAAATAACCCACAGCCCTTGGGTGGAGCCTTCTGCAGGTCCCCATCTATTACCTAGGTCCTTGGACCCTCCAGGCCCAGGAAACAGGACAATGGGGGCAGACAACTCTAGATCACCAAAGTTTTTAAAACCTATTTTTTCCCAGCTGCCCTTTGTCTCCTCCCAGTGGCTTACTGGCACACTGCAATTAAAAATTTTTTAAAAAACAGTCTGGGCTCAAACTTGCAATCCTCATCAAGAACGGGATGAGGATGAGGGCTTTGCTCTTGAGTTCAAGCCTAGAAAAGCCAGTGACTGGAATGGACCACACAGGGCCACACGGGGCAGTCAGTCACGGAGCTCAGTGGAGACTCTGGACACCATGAGCTTTGCTGGGTGACATTGCTCTGTGGGTATCATGAAACCTGATGCTTGAATAGCGACTCTCTCCCGATGTGGGCTGAGGACAAATGGAAGCTCCAGAGCGCTTCCCTCCTGAACTCTGCCCTACAGCCTTCTTCCCCGGCCAGGTCAATATGCAGGCTTCCCTAGCGACAAGTCATAACCACCTCCCAGCTGGCAGGGAGTGCTGAGAGTCCTTATTTGTTACCGAACCCACGAAAAATGCTGGGCACTTCTGAACGTGCAGTTGGTGTGAACATTGAGAGCAGTTTTGAGTCACTGTCCTGATGGGTATTAGACACATGAAAGGATGCTCATCCCAGACTGAACTGAAATAATTTTCCCTGTCATATTGGCAGCGTCCTAGAACTTTGAGACTACGGTGTGCTGGCTAGTCAGTGAGTCGGTGGAGACTCACACCTTCTGTGGGTAAAATGCAAATTAGTAAAGCATACATAAGAAAATTTGGATGCATCTATTAAAGTCACAAACATGTGTAACCTTGGATTATTGGAATTCATCCTGTGCACATTTTGCATATCTGTCAAGTGTACAAAGTCATTCACCGTGATATTGTTTGTGGCAGGAAAGAGGAGAAAAAGGCAAGTGCTTCTGAATAAAGAGCTGGTTACATATATTATGGTTCACCCATAGATTGGAATGTGATATTTTTAAAAAACATTTCACATTTAAATGGAGCCTAAGGAATGTGTGTGTGTGTGTGTGTGTGTGTGTGTGTGTGTGTGTGTGTGTGTATGTTCAGGATAAAATTGGGGAAATGAACTATATATGAAGATATTTTGGGAGCAAACAGTCAATTCATCACTGTGATAACTGGGTTTGTGGAGGACCTGGTGGGTACGTGAGAAGCAAGGAAGACTGCTCACTGTACGCTCCTATTTTCCCACATTGCAGGGAGAGCTCGGACAGGTGCTCTTTGTCACTCTTGAGCTTTCGGGCTTCTCTCTAGATCCAATTTGATTTAATTTTTCCTTCATGTTTTGTGACACATGATTGTATTATTCAGCTTTGTACCGCTACAAGTAAGCAGCGGAAGCAGTTAACTTACAAAGGAATTTTTCTTCCACAAGCCAAAAATTACTTCTGTGTGGGAATAGAGTGTCAAACATTGAAGCTTAGCCGCTGAAACTGGGTGAGGATCTCCGTCCAGAGGGTCAGACATATCACAAGGGCTTTACAAAAACACCGCTGCCAAGCTTTCTCAGACATTTCTGTGACCTGACTCCTTCGGTCACAGAAAGATTTGTCCTCTTTTCATGGTTCCTTATTTTGTGGTGCTGGGAATGGAACTCGAGAACCCAGCCAGGCCATGCCAAGGCCCTTCCACTGAAGCACGGCAGCCCAGAGTTAGCCACATGCGTTCCCTCAGCCCTGCCCAGAAAATTCCCAGCTGCCTCCTGGTGATGACCATTTATTATCTTTCCTTCTAAAACAACAGCCAGAGCCCATTAAGTTCTGTAAATTTTAACGACCAGATGCATTCAAGGGGTGATGAGGAAGCATTAGTGGTGGGCTCTGGATCATGGTGAGGGGTGATGTGGCATCAGTGTTCGTGGGCTCTGGGAAAACCATGGTCATCCAGAGGGAGAAACCTCCTTTCACAATGGGGAGTCTGCTCAAGGTCCCTCCTGGATACTGAACGAGGTCAGGGAGACATCTCTCCACACCTGTATCATCCCCACAGAACTCAGTGGGATTCGATGGGCAAAGCTGAAGCAGAATTTGCCATTTACTGAGACCTTCGAAGAGGAAATGTGTGAGACACGCAGTAGGCTGCCAAACGGGTGTGCGCTCCTTCCTACTTCTCCCCTATGACCTGCTTTTCCACTCAGAAAACTCCTAACCATACCACAGAAGCCAGTGGTTATGCTTCTGTTTACAGGCTACCTTTTTGGACTCTTTCCGACACTTTCTCACTCTATTTTCTGTTTCCTTTTTTTCTCCAGTGAGGCTCTGCCACCCTGTGTCAATCAGCCTCTCTTGTACCCGAGCAGATACAATGGCCAGTGATGATGTCATGAGTCTTGAATCCTTATGTCTTGCTCAGAACCAGCCACAGAGGCAGAGCTCAAAACACACTGACTGAATGCATAAATTTCTGTCCCATAAAGCACGACTACCACTCCTGCTGATGGCCCAGTTTCTTTTTGAGTACTCAGATTTGGACTTGTGCAGGTAAAGAATCAAACTTGAAAGTTCTCAAAGAGATGAGCACAGATGTTTCAAAAACTACGATATTATTGTAAACAGCCGATAAGCACATGAAAAGATTTCCCACCTTAGTCTTAATAAAATGTCAAACTTTTGGCCTACTGATATGAGAAAGTTACAGATGTGCAATTTTTTGGTTTGTTTGCTTGTTTCAAACAGGGTCACTATGTAGTCCAATGGCGTGAAAGCCACTAAGGCTGCTGTCAGATTTGTAGCGATCCTCCTGCTTCATCCTACCAAGTGCTGGGAATATAGGTATGTGCCACCAGGCCCAGCAAAATTGGGAACATTCTTTAGTGCTGAGGCTCTGCAGTTTGGATTTTTCAGGCATTAATCTGCCAATTTAAAACACACATAAACATGAGTTCTTGAATTCGATTCCCAGTATCCCAACTCCTCCCCGAAACACACATAGGATTTGACCCAACTATTCCAATTCTTTGAAATGGTCCTCAAAAAAAAAAAAAGAATTGGGATGATGACAATGATAAGTTATATAGAAACATGATCACTAGAAGAGCCCCATATTAGACTCTTGTTAGACTCCATATGAGAAATCACCTAAAGATTGATCCATCACTGGGCAATTTGAACCAGTTTTGGTAATGCTTTCAGAAGACTGTGTCATCATTAAAGAACAGGGCAATGCATGCAATGGTTTCCAAAAGACATATTCTTTCTAAAAACATATTTGGATTTTAACTTGTATATAACAGTCTTGCAGGTGCGGAGGTACCACGTGATATTGCAGTACGTGCACACAATTTGAAATGGTCAATTGATACATTCATTACCTCAGAGAGTTATGGTTTATAGGTGCTGGGCATATTCAAACACTTCTGTACTAGCTATTTGGAGATACGGAATTCACTGTCACCAGCCACAGTTATCTTCCTGTGCTCTCAAACATTCAAAGTCACTCTGCTTATCCACTGTACCCTGTGGCCACTGCCTGTCCTCTGTCCACTCCCCTCTTCCCGTGAAGCATGCCTAGGCGCTGGTACACACCACCCTACTGTGTTCGTTCTTAAGATTTCTTCTTTGACAGCCAGTACCAACTCCAGACACGAAATGGAAGCATTAGCTACAGAAAGCATGTTCAAAAACAGAGGAAGGGATAAATAAAGGAGGGAAGGGGGAAGGAGGGGAGAGGGGATGATGAAAGGAATTTTGGTGTGCTCTGTACATGTACCAACTCCCCACAAGGAGTGTAAACATTATCATGTACTGACAAATTAAAATAATAAAAATATTTAGAGATAAACTCTACTTCTCCACGTGTGTTGTACAGAGAAATGCATGAAACTATTTGCTCAAAAAGCAATGAGTGAAATCACGCACCCTCACACACAGACACAGTGCTTCTGTAAGTGTAGATTATCTCAGGACAGAGGATAAAGAGGCAGGGAGCAGCAGTTATGGGGAGAAAGCCTGAGGTCTAGGAGTAGGAGCAAGCTTCAATCTGTGAATGACTGCTATAATCTGATTCCAGAGCATGTTTTTACAGCTGAGCTGACTGGGTGTGTAAATACGAGCATACACGGGAACGAGAGCTGTGGGTGAAGAGAGATGAGTCCGTCCGCCGTGAGGGGAGTGGCAGTGTGAGCCAACTTTGCACCCTCGTCCTATGTGGAAGGAGATGAAGGAGGCAGCACAAGCAGACCTGCTGTGGGGTTAAACTCTGGGGCAGGAGAAGTTCTAAACAGTGGCACCAGAAGGCCTCGTGAGGCCAGGCCAGGGAGAGCTGTGGCCTGTGAGAGACCAAGGCTTCTGAGGGGCTGGACCCCGGGAGAGCTCACCTGGTACTTATTCTGCAGTGCCAAGAAGACCAGTTCAGACGGTTGGCTTTCTGCAAAGGACACCTCATAGGGCTTCTCCTCAGGCCCCCAGCCTTCATCCTAAAGACTGTTCATTACCACACGTTTGCCAAGTACACGCAGAAGGAGAAGGTGGTGTTAGACTTCCCATGAGCGCCGGAGCGCAAATCCACCTGCATTTGTGGCTCCTTTCTGAAGAGCGAAGCACACAGCATGTCGAGTGCATCCCTTCCCCGTTGTGGCAGGCACACCAGTGCGCTAATCCCTTCCCGTGTTTTCCTCATGACGGAAGGAAGGCTTTCCTGGGTGATACTGAAATCCTTGTCCCTGCAGGGCTCGGTGGGGAGGTGCTTTGTCTTTATCCCAACAGCGTAACTGAGGAGCAGGCCTATTGATTGTGCATCACCTAAGAAGCCTGTGTCCCTTGAAACAGAGCCACAGCCCCACCTGAGTGTTCTTCTATCTCGGGAAACAAGATCGGACCAGAGCCCAGCAAATAACCTCTCATGTTCTGGGGGTCTCCAGACCTGCTGGATGAGTGACAGCATCGTACTAGCTGATGTCAGTGTCACCCACATGATGTGACCCCTGAGCTCTAATACCCTCACCTCACCCTCCCCCAGCCATGCACTGTGCAGAACTCATCAGAAAACGTTAGGGGTCCCTTTGATCATCACTGTAGAACCCACAGGCAAGGACATGCTCCTTGTGTACGGGATCTTTTGCACTGAGAGTGGATAAAAGCTATTGGCCCAGGTATGTGTGATCCTCCAGCAAGAGATGGGAGTCCAACAGAATAGAGGAACTAGGTGAGAGACAACAGGTCAAGCTCTGTCTCCTCCTCCTTGGGACCCCAGCACAGTCAGCCCCCATTCTCCTTGATGAGACAGAAGAGCGGCAGAAGAGTCAGGCTAACTGGGCTCAAATCTTTTTTTTAAAATTTTTTTATTTTAAAGAGTAAAACAAGGATAACGTAATAATAGGGGGGACTTAGCATATTACAGACAAAATGGTAGGAAATTATCAATGGTTATCGTTTTACATATTATTATCTACAAAATAGTTTCT